TCTCTCATTTTTCGGCATTTCCAGAAATGCATAGCAAAAACGAAACCCATTTCTGTGATCCCAATATGGGCCCTACAACAAGCAACAAACCCATTTCTAAAAAGCGCGTCACGACCTGAATGATCTCTCTGTATTCTCCGTCTCGCTCTTCTTCTTCTTCTTCTTCTTCTTCTTCTTCTTCTTCTTCTTCTTCTTCTTCTTCTTCTTCTTCTTCTTCTTCTTCTTCTTCTTCTTCTTCTTCTTCTTCTTCTTCTTCTTCTTCTTCTTCTTCTTCTTCTTCTTCTTCTTCTTCTTCTTCTTCTTCTTCTTCTTCTTCTTCTTCTTCTTCTTCTTCTTCTTCTTCTTCTTCTTCTTCTTCTTCTTCTTCTTCTTCTTCTTCTTCTTCTTCTTCTTCTTCTTCTTCTTCTTCTTCTTCTTCTTCTTCTTTCTTCTTCTTCTTCTTCTTCTTCTTCTTCTTTTCTTCTTCTTCTTCTTTTCTTCTTCTTTTCTTCTTCTTCTTCTTCTTCTTCTTCTTCTTCTTCTTCTTCTTCTTCTTCTTCTTCTTCTTCTTCTTCTTCTTCTTCTTCTTCTTCTTCTTCTTCTTCTTCTTCTTCTTCTTCTTCTTTCTTCTTCTTCTTCTTCTTCTTCTTCTTCTTCTTCTTCCTAACGTTGTCCCGCTTGTGCAGGGTCCGTTCTTCGGATCGAAAGTCGCCACTTTGCTCGATCTAGTGCATCTTCTTTAGAGAGGTTGACCATTCTCAAGTCCGCATTTATGGTGTCCTGCCAGCGTTGTTTTGGTCTTCCTCTCGGCCGGTGACCGTCTACTTCAAATCGATATGCAATAGAAGCGACGGTATCACGCTCAGCTCGCAAAACGTGGCCATACCACTGGAGTCGTCTCTCTTGCATCTTCTCAACGATTGGTGCGACACCCATCTGGCATCTAATCACATCATTACTGATTCTATCGAGGCGTGGAATGCCCATTGACAGTCGTTGCTGGCCAGCATTCGGATCCGTACAGTGTCACGGTCGAACCATGGTCCGGTATATCTTTGACTTGAGGCGAAGAGGCATGCGCCTATCACATAGCACCCCAGTGACTTCTCTCCATCTCATCCATGCCGCGTTGACTCTCATTCGAACCTCATCATCAACACCACCTCCGCTTTGCAGGCGGGACCCTAGGTACCTGAAAGACATCGTTTTCGGTAAGTCTTCGCCTTCGACTTTGATCGTGCCTTCGCTAGGGTCCGTCTCTAAGTATTCTTTCTGGTGTTGAGGCGAAGGCCATACTGGCTTAGACGGTCATTCCATGCTTGCACCTGACGCTGCGCATCCTCTCTACTGACATCCGCTAGAAGAACATCATCAGCATAGAGTACACCCGCTAGAAGAACATCATCAGCATAGAGTACATCCGCTAGAAGAACATCATCAGCATAGAGCAAAGTCCATAGAGCTGCGTGTTGCAGATCTCTTGTGAACGTGTGTATGATGAACAGCAATGGCGAGAGGGCCGAACCTTGGTGAACTCCAACCTTTATTGGAAAGCTCTTAGATAAACCCGCAGCACATCGTACTCGACTGGTGGTGTTCATATACAGCATTCGAATCCAGCTGATAAGTGCTTCAGGCACTCCATGCTCACGTAGCGCATACCAGATTGGTGGGGCACGCGATCGTAAGCTTTCTCGAGGTCCAAGAAAGCCATATGAAGTGGTTTCCGCTTTTCCCGATGCTTCTCCATGAGTGAGCGAGCGGCAAATATTGCATCCGTTGTTCCTCGTCCTTTCACAAAGCCGCACTGGTTGTTGCTCAAATCAATCATGTCGCGTAACCGCTGATCAAGGATTCGCTCGAAGATCTTCATGGTGTGCGAAAGTAAGCGAATGGGGCGGTAATTGGAGCACTCGGCCGGGTCTCCTTTATTTTTTAAGATGGGCACAGTGATGCTCACTAGCCCACTCACTAGGTGCACGCCTGAATCAACGGCTGCATTGAGAAATTGCGTGAGCCACGGAATACCTTCCTGTCGTAGCTCCTTCATTTTCCAGACCTCTGCCGGTATGTTATCTGGTCCTGGCGCTTTTTGGTTCTTCATGCTGTCCACGTCGTCACATCCGCTTTCTGGGGTGTAGGCTAGAAACACACAATCGCTTACCGTGAAAGACTGTGCCCCTTCATGTAAGCGCCGTCCGTTTCGGTAAAGTGCCCTGCCTCAACAAAGGAGGTCACTTAGGTCATGGCGCGGCTTTTATAAATGGTTTGCTGCCGCATGTGCAAGGGTTTCACGCAAGGATTGTAAAACTGGTTTCGTTTCTGCTTGCGTTTCTGGGAATGCCAAAAAATGAGCGGAAAGTTTGCTGAGGAAAAGCGACTGAGCCATCTTTTTGAGCTCTTTTCTAATTGTAATTCTAAATTCGCACAGTTTACAAGATCTTTGTTAACCATGCGTTGAACACCATGCAAAGGAAGGCGAAAAAAAACTATCGGACTTGACATCTGGTGAGGTACCATTGAAGTTCCTTTATGGAGCCGGGAGCCTCCATCCCGCACGCAGGGGTGTTTAGCGCCATTCTTACGCCAGATGGCCTCGGCGCTGAATATAAGTGTCAGAACCGTGATCAGTGACATCAGTTACCCCTATATCGGGAGTTTCAGCTAAAATTTTTCTTTCGAGTTTTTCGAGTTATTGTGAAAGACCACGTTGAACTGGTAACTATCAGTATGCTCTAGAAGTCGTCCAACTTCGCTACCTGAACCTTTTTATTAGTATATACACGCACCAGTCGGATCACCCCGCCGGGTGCTCCTTCTGTTTCACGGCCCGGCTTCGCCGGGCCGACCTGGCTTCGCCAGGCATTCTTCCCTTGGGCGAGGTAGAATGCGCTAAATGTGCAAAATGATGACAGCAATTTTTTTTATTGAAATGCAGGAAAATGAGTTGAAAATAGCTCAACATCAGTCATTATCTACCAACATCTGGTCCCCCTTGCTTACTACAGACTTTCAACGTGAGAAGGCTGCACCATATCATTAAGGACCGCAGTTGCGACAACAGAATGGGTAAAGTTGAATTAGTCCGGATGAGTCCTTAACAGAAGAGGCATAACTGCAGAGTAATGGGTGGCACTGAAAAGGAGAACTCCACATTGCTTGTACATATAAAAGTTTGTGTCGCGCGGACACGGAGAGCTTAAATGACCACGGACGCTCTCACTCCCAGTTGTTGGGTTCCCTCCTTATTTTGCTTCAATTGCGACCGCCACCTCCTAACACATCACATAGGAGGCAGATTTGCCTAAATATTTTCAAATGGTGAATTTCTCGATTTTCCCATTTCAGCCGCACAAAATATGCTGTCACCCCCGTTATGAATATGGTGACCTTCTCCTTCTAACGTTCCTTATCGAATCTTATCAGCAGCTTGGAGTTTTTATCACCCACCAATAATGTTCTTGGCCCATACACTTTATCATATCTTGGAATCAAGAGCTGATGCTGTCACCCGCCTTATGTCTTAGCGGATCTTATCAACTGATATCACTTCCTGTCACCCACCAATAGTGTTCCCGTCACACCCCTACATCACTCCTTGGAACCAATGTCTCACTGCTACTGACCGGCGCTATGAATTTCGTGACAAACAGACAGACGCACACACACACGCACGGACATAGCGGATTATATAAATTAGGATAATTGACAACTGTAAATTTCGACAAAAGGACAGATATGCTGCACAATATCTACACCTGAAAAGTCAAAGAAGGGTTCATTTTTCCCGGCGAAATTTACAGCGAGAGGTAACCAGTTCCTTGATGAAAGCCTGGACGACGGGAGTCGAGAGAGGTCCAGGATGCTGGACCACAGGACTAACATGACATTTCAAAAACGTACTGAGTTCGGGAAAGCAAAATTTGCGATGGTTGATCTAACCAAACGGTTACGGAGATGCGAGTTGGTGTGTCACTGCCAAACAAATAGTTGGTTCATTACCACCAGAATGGGTCCTGAAAAAAAATTTCTACTGAAACTTTCGATATAGGGGTAACTGATGTCCCTGATCACGGTTCTTACTTATATTCGGTGCCGAGGCCATCTGGCGTGAGTATTGCGCTAAACACCTCTGCGTGCGGGATGGATCTAGAAATCAGTGAAGAAACTTCAATGGTACCTCACTACAAGTCAAGTTACATATTTTTTTTTCCTTACTTTGCATGGTTTTCAACGCATGGTTGACAAACATCTCAAAAACTACTCGAATGCAACATTACAGTTAGGAAATGGCTCGAAAAAGCGGCTCAACATCGCCTTTCGTCAGCAAACTTTTTTGCTTGTTTCTTGACATTCCCAAAAACGCATAGCAAGAATGAAACTCATTCTGTGATCCTTGTATGGAATAGTACTTGTACTTGTACGCGGGCTAAAGTCTCATTTAATAGGCCAGAACATCGCTTGTCGCTCATAAAGGACTCCGCCTGTTTTCAGCGACGAGACAGACCCTAGCTCGCGAAATGGGACTCTTTCCTGTCACTTCAGTACAAAAGTGATCAGAGCCTACGGAAAAGATGATAGTCTCTTACATAGTGCTGAACAGCAGGCTGTTATGGTGCGGACAACGCGCCGCCGGATCGACAATGAAGCGAGCTCATAAAACGTCGAATCTCATATTATCAAATATGTTGCAGCATCTGGCAGAGCATTTCAACTATAGGGTCTGGTTAGAAGTACTCTGGCCTCCGGTCTTCGCTCGGTCGATGCAGCTCATTCCTTCAAAACGCCTTTGCTTGCAGGCCTATTGCTGACATATTTCATATTCCGCTGGCAGGTAACGCGTGCTGCAGTTCATTCCTAAAAAATCGAGAGAACAGAAAACACTTCATAACTCAGTTCAATTCACTTCCTGATAGTCTTTGAAGATTCGAAAGCACAACTTATGGCATATATTTCTTAACAAATGACTATTTCATCCTACTTCACCGCCGAAGTCAGTTGGATCTGCAGGCGTGCAGGTATCATGTTTCTCTGAAGTCTGAGCACTGGCCAAGCTTGTCTCGTCGTGCGAAGCGTAGCACCTAAATGTTTTGGCATGTGATAACAACAATGTAATTTAGACAAACTCGTAAAACCTGGGGCGCTAGATACAGTGACATATCCGTGACACAATCTCTGTAAAATTCTTCGGTGAGCTTGTCTCTTTCAATCTCTATTCAACCGTGGCCGCCATGTCTGACCGTCTGTTCTCTTCTTATTTTGTTACGAGCCTCTTTGCAAGTGTAAACGTATGATTGCATTGCAGGATGACTTAAAAGTAGCGTTTTAGAAAGCGATTTCTCCCACATTTGGACTGAAAGAGCGATTTCACTTCCAAGTGTATTTCTAGAATTCATCTGTACCTTCCTTCTGACAAACGACCACGTATCTGGCCTGCAGTTATTTTGCGAAGACCGTCAAACGCGTTCATCGTGAAGCGATCGCGTGACTTACACAATGCAAAGTCGGTGATTGCTTGTCAAATGAAGTTCTGCTTTGAGCTGTATGGTAATCGGCCTTCTAGTAAAAAATCGAAAAGAACCTTATCGTAAGGAGGAATACAAGCCATATTCGAACAGTTAGTGCAGGAAAGACTCGTCCAACTACCAAAAAGAAAATTGACGGAAACCACGTGCGAGAATAAACTGAATCACGATGGGTCTGGGAATTCTCCGAGCAAATATCAAATATGTTTGAAATATCTTCAAAAGCTTTGCATGGAGCTCTATATGGAGCTAGTTTACCAAACAAAGATAGTTGGGCAGATTTCGAGTTATTTATAAGTTTTCCAGTGTCGTTGCTTCCACACTCTTCACACGGCAACTCACTGACGCATGTACAGATTGGCGCACTATGCTCTGTCAACGCCCCCACCGGGGAACTTTGTTACGAATTTCGCCAAATTTTGACCATTTTTCAAGTTTTTCACTTTTCTCAGCTGCAATCAGTAACTCCGGCTGCAATAGGCTCCGCAATCTTACATAAGACTCGCCCGTTTTTGCAAACAATCCTAAATGGGAACACTATGGTCTCGACTAGCACTCCAGAATCTTCCTCACCACTCGCACCGAATCTTGCCTGATTTTTATCAAGAGCACCGATAGAAGCTCTATCCTGCAGTTTTGTCAAGAACCTCATAGATCCCAGTCGCCAACGCACTCTATCTCAACATTGACTTTTATGCTACGACGCCAAACCTACTGGTTCCAGTGGTACTAAGGCAGCATTCAGACTTCGCAGCGGCAGCGGTTCGGTCTCGTGTTCGACGCAGTCGAAAATATGCGCACCGATTGCGTCGAAGGCGCACCGAAACGCTGTCGTCGCGAACTCTGAACGCGGCTCGAAGGTACCAGCATCGACCCTAAGGATGGTCACTGCAAGTAAGTTGATTATGCAGCTCATTGTCAGAACATCCCGATTCTTTTACACGTGGAAAGATTCAAAACGACAATCATCTCAAACCTATGGTCCATCCTAGTACGCCACGCTTTTTGTCAAAAGTTTGGCAGATGTTGGCAATTCTGTATGGGACTTCTTAAGTTCACTATTACTCTTCCATTGTGGATGAAAAAGTAGAGTGCAAGGTTACCAAATAAAGGAACATACCTTTTTCATCATATGGTCATTCCAGTCTAGGATCAGGGTCTTTCCGTCAACCACAATGCCCTGCCACTTGTTATTACCATTGCCTTCCCCTAAAAAAACAAGAATGATAGTTTTTTACCTGTACAATCGTGCACACCAAGCACCAGATATAGTTTCGATTTCTTTCTTTTGTTTTTTGGCAGAGGGAACAAGAACTAACAAAGAATTTGTTCTAAGAACTACTTCTAATTTAGTAGAATTTAGTTTCTACTGTCATTTAGCAGAAACAGACCATTCCAAGTTCTCGCAGATTTTGGAAAATAGGTCCATGCTGAAACGTGATAAGATTTGTAATGTGATTTCGTAAGCCCTCACTCATGGAAGTGGCTACCTCTAGATCGCTGCGGGATGAAGGGGAGCATCAAGCAGTACGAGTGCCACATCGACGAACTCGTTCTATTCTTAAAGCGGGTATGCGACAATAATTGGTGGAAAACGAGCCATGCGAGCGACATGATACACTCTCCTCACTTGCACGCTTTGAACAAATGGTGGAGAAGGGATACCTGACTCGGCACAATTTATTTTTTCACTGCCCTGCTCTTGAAATTTATCTCCGACATAGATCGAAATTTTTCTTCCTGGTCAGCATTGGCCAAAACTTTGTTCCCTCAGTGAACACTTTTGCACACTTTGGTAAAACAGAGGTCAAAGAACTTGATTTCTGTGATAAAGTCTTGAGCTCTCCCCCAGCAGGTCTATGAATTCGGATAGCTCTATATGTTCAATGAAAAATGAGTCTTGTATGGCACTCGGTTCAATTAGATCCCAACGATTAAGGGTAGATTATCTATTTTGGAAACTTGATGTTCTCTGCTCATAACCACGTATGGAGAAAGGCTAGAGATTTGTCCAGTGTAGTGATCGATAGTATTTCTAGGAGTAAATGAGCTGTCTGGATCTTCAGAGTAGATGGCATGGAGTGATCGAGTTGTCCTGTGAAGAAAGGATCTCACTGCAGGTTTCAAGTGCAGACAGCCATAGCGGAGAACGTATAGTGCTACGAAGATGTTTTCGGCACTCCGGCTCTCGGTACCTCAGTCATAAAAAGTTTAGTCTTTGCCGTCAATCAGTCTTTTTTCGGATGTGGCACGCATTCTACTTCCATTCAGAACCGTAGTGGCTCCTTGAATGCGACCTGACCTATGCAGAGACTTGCGGGGACCGGCCGATTATCAAGTTTGCGTTATTATCCTCTCAGACCAATCTGGTACCAGTTTACCGTCCGCGGAAGGTAGAGGGCTTTAAGCCAGGCGAAAGGCGATCTGGGATTTGATCCACGGACCGTGCGCGTGGTGAGCGTGCCACTTGCCAATGTGTCACCTCCCCCTAGCTCGGCCATATTATGGAGAATTATGGAGAACAAGTTGGCTCTATTCGCCAGTCGATATCAGTCGAATGGCATTTCGTCAACAAGACCGGAAACATTCTGTCTCCCTTACCTCTAACTCCATGCTCTCGGAATTAATTTTGTGGAGTACACACGTCAAAATCCTCAGCCTCAACCTAGCACAAACACTGCCAGAGGTGTTGCCGCTAATTCCGCTAGCATCAATACAGTAGAGCCAACGTTGCATTAGCCATATTACAGTGAAGGGTCTTCTAAGGAGCTTTATCTTTTGTCCGAAAAGCGGACTTTGATTTCACAACTTAGAGTTCTTGTCTATTAAGGGGCAGGGATTGCCGAGTGGCTACGGGTGTAGTCTCATGACTGCGTTCTGAGTCACGAGTTTGATCCGCCGAGGCAAAAACGATGTCTTGCAAAACTGGTAAGATGATGTTGACTCCAGTGCAAAGTTGACAGACTGATGTAGAACCACATCACAAAAAATATGGTTAGAATTAGGAGTGTTATCGATAGGACGTCATCCGGAAGTGATGCGCAAAACCCTCGCCGGATTCTGTGTTTTGAGCGTGGGATTATCTATCGGGAAGTCTCGAGAGGTTGCTGACTTCATGAGATACGGTAATACCCAAGTCCGATGCCTCCAGGAAACGTGATGGGAAGGAGCGAATGCTCATGATCTTGAAGCAAGGGTCAAGCACTTCTACAATGGAGGAGGCAGCAAGCGAAATGGTGTGATCAAGGTAGTAGCTGAATGCCTCCTGTTTTGTGGACAGGATCAGAAATCCACTCATGGACTACAGGTACGAAGGAACGTCAGGACAATACTGTCCGCGTATGCACGCAATCCGCTTGTTCCGAGCTGGAAAGAATGGCTTCTACCTGACCCTGGACAAGGCCGTGAAATCAATTCCGGAGGATCTCTATCTCACCATAGCTGGTGATTTGGATGAACAAGGGTATGGTGGCAGAGGGGGCCTAGAAAGAGTGCACGGAGGAGGAACAGGAACAAGGAACTTTGAAGGAGAACCGAAGCGATCCTTGTCCTCGCTGGAGCCCAAGACTTAGCAATCTGCAGAATCTTCTTATCGGTCTTTCTTTTTACTGGAAACTCCATTACCATTTCCATTTCTTTCCAACACTCCATTGGCATATTTCGACTGGCGAATAGAGCCAACTTGTTCTTCGTCATTCTCCATAATATAGTATAGCTGAGTTGGGAGGAGGTGACACAGTGGCAAGTAGCACGCTCAGCACGCGCTGCTCTCGCCTGGGCCAACCAAGCCCTCTACCCTCCGGGGTAAACTGGTACCAGATTCGGTCTGGGAGGATAAAACACTGACTTGTACATCGGCTGGCCCCCGCAAGTCATTGTATAGGCCACATCGCATTCAATAAGCCACTACGATTCTGAATGGAAGTAGAATGCGTGCCGCATCCGAAAAAAGATTGAAAGATTGATTGACGGCACAGACTAAACTTTTTATGACCGAGGTGCCATGAGTCCCGAAAACATCTTCGCAGCCTTATACGTTCTCCGCTATGGCTGTCTGTACTTGAAACCTCCAGTGACATTCCTTCTTCACAGGACAACTCGATCACTCCATGCCATCAACTCTGAAGATCCGGACAACTCATTCACTCCTAGAAATACTATAGGTCACTACACTGGAACCAATCTCTAGCCTTTCTCCATAAGTGGTTATGAGCAGAGAAGATCAAGTTTTCAAGATGGATACTATACATTTAATCGTTTGAATGTTGAGAAAAGTCAGGAGTTGCAAGTCCTCTGTGATTGGCGAAACTAAGGAAGCATCTAAATGGATCGAGTGTCATACGAAACCCACTTTTCATAAACATATAGAGCTATCCGAATTCGTAGACCTATCGCAAAAGCTCAAAAAAGACTTTATCATAGAAATCAAGCTCTTTATGTACAAGAGCGGAGCAGTGAAAGGTGAATAGTGCCGAGCTAGGTATCACAAGAATGAGTTGGATGTGTCGGTCAGAATGAGAGGCCTGGCTACAATAAACTGATGGCGCGCGACCGTGCCTCTAGATGATGTCGAATCTAAGTTGTAATACTGGGAACGGGTAGCAATTTGTGCACGTTGTCGTTCTGGGTTAAAGGCAGCGCCCACGTTCACTTGATGTTCCTACGCCCTTTCTGGATATCATAGCCCTCCCCATAAGGATGCAGTATGTACTAGTTTTGCATCTCACAAAGGCGAGAGGATAGCGCCTATCGCTAGTAAAGAGTCGACCGCCCCGCCCACCTGGCGACCACGACGCCCAACTTCATTTCTAATGGTTGCCTGATGGTGCGGTTGTTCCATTGCTGCTTCTCTCCACGTCGTGTGGTGAGAGTGAGGTGATAAGGGGAAACAGCTGAAATCAACAAGTGAGAACTCGTGCAACCACTCCTTCTCTTCGCCTTAAGCACGTACAACCGCTATTCGGTATGAAACTCCTTATAGGGCATTTTGCATGTTTTCTTTTGATTTTTCTTCACTAATAGGTTTCTTGCTACCTTGCTATTACTACCTGAGCCGCATACTCATCAAATTTGAACGCGGGCGCTGCCTCCAACAGGGCACAGCATTCGATGGGGACTTTGGTCGAGCCTGTACGACCCCCCCCCCCTCCCCGCGGCCCACTACGAACCCCCCCCTGGTGGTGCCCCCC